AAGCCATTAGAATCGCCTCTACCAGAGATGCCATGCATTAATACTCACTGGGCTGTTGAGAACGGAGACCCAGCATTATCCTGATTGGAGACGGAGAATATCCCGTTACCAATTGTAGTGCCAATAAATTCATTCCCACCCCCCACGCCATAAATATAAATGTGTTTATTCTGAAGTTCAAATGGTGACAAAAACTTGGAAATGGGCACATCTCAGTCAAGTCTGGCAACAGATTATTTCAATACAGCCGTATCATTTCCTGTATTAATGTGGGCCGCCTAAGAAGAACTCAGAGTGACACTTAAGCTGCGTGAGAAATCCCATTGATGAAAAATATTGAGACACAGCAATTTCATAGAAGAGCAGATCTAAAAAAAAGCTCCTCCGGTCAGCCAGTAGATGTCACTTGTGTTGTTTTCATCACACTGAGAACTGTAACGGTGATATATAAATTAATTTGCGGAGATCTTCAACATGTGATATTTAGCCCTTTAAATCTGAAGCATACAGTACATTTTAAATTAAGGGTGGCTAAAGAGTAATATTTGACATTTGAATAAATATATGTTCAGGGCCACTGTGAAATGTTTTCACTATAATTTTACTCCAAAAGGGATTTGTCTCTTAATCAGATATGTCTTCTGAAGTGGGCGACTACATTTCCTTGGAGGGCTAGTGGGTAGGTGTCAGATTGCAATTGGGCTGATAAATGCATTTGAATATGTTTTATGAAGGGTAAGGGAGAGACATGACATGCAGGATGTGTACAGCTGTACATCTAGTTTTGCTGCACATGTTTAGGCGGGAAAAATGTAACCCTAACTTCTTTGTTCCTTTAGTTGGTGTCCACGTAGTTCCAAAAAGGGCTTTTAAAAACAGAAAATCTGAGGTTTGATACAGGTTTGACTTCACAAATGTTACTCTTTATTTTCCCTTTAAGAAACCTAGTAGTGTTTTTCATTTACCGCCTACAGTAAATGCCCACTTCTTTAAAACACATCACTCCCAGTTTGTAACGCAGGCTATCCGCTAAAAATCCTCTAGAGACCCAGTTGAAGTTGTTTAAAGAGATTTTTAGAATAGCTTTCATGGACTAAATCATACTTGTCATGAAAACTAAGCTACAAATCCAGTGTAAAATTGGTGCATTGCTCCTTTCATTCTCACACATTCCTTCACTAATGAAAAACCTACTGAATATAAATGACAGTTCTTGTATTACTTCTTTCTTCTCTGCCTCAAATTCATCGACTTTCTGCTCTTTTTTTCTTCAGGCAGCAGGGAGGCAGCATTCACATACGCCATCACCGCAGCCGGAGTTGCCCACGCGGTAACTACGGCTTGTAGCCAAGGCAACCTGAGCCAGTGCGGCTGCGATCGCGAGAAGCAGGGCTACCACGACCGGGAGGAGGGCTGGAAGTGGGGGGGCTGCTCTGCCGATGTGAAGTACGGGGTGGAGTTCTCGCGGCGCTTTGTAGACGCTCGTGAGATCAAGAAAAATGCCCGGCGGCTGATGAACCTGCACAACAACGAGGCAGGGCGAAAGGTAATGCACAAGCAGGAAATTCATACATCCAATAAATATATACTTAAAGATAACACCAGCAGATAAACACTCTTAAACACTATGGTATGTTTTGTAATAAACATGTTTAATATTTTAGTACAATGTGCATAATTTTACCTTTTAATCTTTTCGATGTTTATTTAAAGATCTTTTGTCTATTCATTTTTTCTTAATAAATTCTTACTCTCTTTTGTTATGTTTTTTAATAATTTACTTTATTTTTTGATTGAACTTTAATTTAATTCTAAAATTGAATTAAAACAGTCATGAGACTCAGTTTCACCCAGGATAATAATATTGCAAATTCTGATCTGAAAACATTATACAACACCATATTCCAATTAAAGTACAATTATAATCAGAAATTATAAAGTACAATTATAAAATACGATAAAAGTGTCAGCTGAATGTAATGTAATGAGGATAGCTATTAAGTGTGAAATCCTTAAGCTAGTATATATTGTCCATGACTTGTGTTTTTGTATCAGTAACTATATTTCAGCCCAAAACTGTGCAACTGATTTTAAAAAGCTCCTGTACACTAGACTTGGTCAGTGCAAGTGTGACAGAAATGCAAAAGTTGGCCGATGCATTTTCCAAGATGGAGCTGTGCCACAGAATTAGGACGCATTAAGTGAGGAAATCGAATATTATTGCAAGTTTCTCTCGTTTCCTTTCTTAGTGGCAGTAGCAAAGAGCGTGTTTCTGCAACACCGCAAGGGCCACCTCCCCCAGAATGTGAAAAAGGGGAAGACTGAGACATTGATTTAAAAAGTGGTCTACAAAAGTGAATACATTAAGAAGAGCTTAGTATAACTTGTGATGATAATGTGAATATTTTTTGCTATAAAAACGAGCTTCTTCACAAGGGCAAACAGTCACCTGTCAATTTTGTCATATGAAAATATTTGTTTGGCATTGCAATATAAATCTGGCTCAAACCGCAGTGCAATTCTATACGTATATGGTTTGCACAACAGCTCTGGTCACTTTTCTCCGGCCTGTCAGGCCATTATGTGGTTTGAAGAAAGGTAAAGATAATTAGAGACTACAGTCTGAGTTATTTTCCCCAGGTTTTGTCGACATAAAGTTGGCATTCAGGAGTGCCGAGTGTTGAAAAGCCCAGCTGACCAAGAGAGATGGATTTGGAGGCTATCCGATTGCTATTAGCCGTTTCAAATTCAATTTTGTTTTACTACTTATTTTCTAGCTCTTCTTAACTATCTCTTTTAATTCACACAGAGCTAATTTCTGCCTCTCTATGTGATCAGATGCTAGAGGAGAGGATGAAGCTGGAGTGTAAGTGTCACGGCGTGTCCGGTTCCTGCACCACCAAGACCTGCTGGATCACCCTGCCCATGTTCAGAGAGCTGGGTCACCTGCTGAAGGAGCGCTACAGCGGGGCCGTTCAGGTGGAGCCGGTCCGGGCCTCGCGACTGCGACAGCCCTCCTTCCTGCGACTCAAAGAGGCTCGGGGCTACCAGAAGCCCACGGACACGGACCTGGTGTACCTGGAGCGTTCGCCCAACTACTGCGAGGAGGACAAGGTCACGGGAAGCACGGGAACGCGGGGACGACTGTGCAACGGCACCTCCACCCACACGGACGGTTGTAACATGATGTGCTGCGGCCGGGGGCACGACACGCACAGCTACACCCGCATCTGGCAGTGCAACTGCAAGTTCCACTGGTGCTGCTTCGTCAAGTGCAACACATGCAGCGAGAAATCAGAAGTGTTCACCTGCAAGTAGGGGAGGAGGAAGAGGGGGAAGAGGCTGGGGGAAACGGACACTGGTGGAAAGTAAGAAGGTGGAATTTGAAGTGAAGGACTTGGAAGTATTTATTCAACAATTTGCACATTTTTACATCCTATTCTGGGATTCTTTAAAGAAAGAACCAACAGACATGGAGTTTTGGAAAAAGAGACATGGTCGATTTAAAAAAAACGTTCCTTTTTCTGCACGCTGGTACAAAACTGTGACATGATGCAAACGTGTTGCAGGCTAAAGGATTTGATGGTCTCCCTTTTGCCTCTAGACGACATCTTCAGTTGTCAGACGCGAGAGATTACACAACAAAAACTATTGTTGGCTCTTGAAAATACTTTTGCTAACTGGAAATGCTACGGCGCTTCAGACTGCCATGAAGGATTCTGAGGAAGTAAAAAAAAAAAAAAGATGGCAGTGGAATACTTTTAACTGTACGCTCACACTGTATTCTGTTTGAACACTGAAAATAAAACAAATTATTTATGTAAAAATATCTTTCAAAACTAGACTTAAAGGGTGGATAGCAGACAAAATGGCTTTGAACTTTTTCCCTCTTTTATGATCGTAAATTGCTACTGATAAGGAGTCGCAGTTATCCATTATCAGTTGTCAGTGGCGTACTCCGCTATAGATTAGTCGTTTTTCTTTTTGCACACACGGTTATTTCTTTCCCTTTTTCATCAGTTATGAGTCGTGCTGTTGAGCGCTGCACCGACATCTCTCCCACGGACAAATTCCCCTCCGAAACCCAGACCCCTTTTGTTACGCCAGGAGACAAAGAGGCAGAAAATACCCCCAAACTATTTTAAGCATCCAACTTTGAACAGTTTGAATGGCTCTTTCCATTCTGACCGTGCTCATTGTTTTGTTTTCGGAGGGCCCTTGACTTCTGAGAAAATCGTGTAAGCCTCATTGGAACTCCATAGAGGTGCAATCATGTCCAGATACATCCAACGTTCCCATGATCGGCAGAGACGTGGAATTCCACATGATGCTTACACAGGGCCTCGCAGCGTGGTTTAGGCCTGCCTGGGTGGATGGCATGTGCCCTAACCACACAGAAGGGGGTATGAGAGGATCAAAAGGCCTTTCAAGCTATTTTTGGACAGCACCCTTAATGTATTCAGAAATGTTTATTTAGGCTTTATATAACTTACAAAATAATTTGAAGAGTATATTTTTATATGAGGAACATGGCACTTTATGTCATTTATAGATGGAAAAGACAGTCACTATTTACAAATGTTTTCTAATGTCGACGGTATAAATTATTTGGAATTTATGTTTTTAAAGTTCCTGAAGTGTAAATACTCCACGTGTTTTATCAAAGTAGCCCAGGTTGTCCTTCTCCATCACAATAGCTCATTAGTCTTTGATTAAATTGCGAGTAGATAATACATTGGATGTGTCAGCTTTAGATCGGAGAGATTTCTGTGTTTCCAGTTGTCTTCATGGTCCTTTCAGTAACTAGGAAGACCTCGTTGCTTCCTAATAACTTCAGATACAACTTAAGTTTTTTTGTTCTCAAAGTCTGCATCACTTACAAACATGGACCGTTGTATTTCTTCTTTTTTACCAATAAAATTTGAGCATCCTTTTAACGCCTCCAGAGTTTTGATATCACCTCCGTTTCCTAAAAATCATTCCCCAATAGAAGCGGTTTCTCACACAATACTTTATTAAGCATTATATCAACACATGATTTGACCCAGACACAAAGCATTCACCCTGACAATTGTTTTACCGAACCAGAAGGCACATTGTAGTGGAGCCCTTGTGGCATAAAACGCTGATATGGGAAACACAAGAACTTGTAGCCTTGACTGATGTGGTACTAATGTGTCAGGAGGTGAACAGGCGGCAGCGGCCATGCCACCTCATTGAGCCCCGGCTGACTCTTTCCTGTGGGGCTGAAAAGCATTGCAGCCAGCCAGCGGAGCGCGAGTAACAGCTGTTTTGTTAGCCGTCTGAAATCCTGGGGACCGGAACCGCGTAAGCTCCCTTCACTATGCCCGTGGATTGAGGGGCGAGTCGAGCCGATTGTTTCCAATACATTTTGTCATTAAAAATCAGAGGCAGAGCAAACAAGGTGGAGCAGGGCGTGAGCAGCCCAGTAAATCGCTGCATTGTTGAGGTGTCAGGACAGTTCAGCTTATCCGGCAGCCGCGAGGAGCAGGGAGGGATGTCATCCTGCGCACTAAAGCCTCTGGTGTGATTCTCTCACTCGCTCATTAAATCACTTTCAGCAAGCTCTCACCTACCAGAATCTGTTTCTTATCAAAAGAAGAAAAAAAAAGCACACACTCACTCGCAAACACAGCTAAAAAGGAAGCGGGGCATTCAGTAAATCTCTGAAATAATCTATGTTGTCTAACTCGATTATAGCCAACTCAGCGTGAAATGAGGCAGTAAAGAATGTTGTGAGTTTAAGTTAATAATTTATGATGCATGCCATAAACTGTAATCTCTTATGTATGGAGTAGTAGTAGAAGTAGGATGGGAAAATGTTAGGAATAAGAGGAAGAATAGGATGAACTTCACTGAGAGTATAAGACTTCAAGAAGAGATGCAGTAAAAACTAACCAACGTGCATAGCATCAGTTGTAATTAGTATTGCATTCAGGTCCTCAGATTAAAATATGGATATCATTCATGTTTAAAGGAATAGTTTTAAGAGCTTTGAATGTCTCTCTGGCAACGACACCAGCGTTTCAAGGAGGTAAGGCGCTGAGGAGGCTGATTACATCATGTTTTGGTCTTTCTCTGTTACTGCAGAAGTCACTATGGGGATGGGATTAAACCCAAACCCCTGCTGGTAACATGGGTGTCTGTGAAGAGGGAAAGGCCCCGGACACTGCGGTGCCCTTTGTCTTTGGATTAAAGCACAGGGCATCGCCGTGCCAAAAAAGGTACCAGCATGAGCTCGCCTCTCCCTAACTCTTCATTTCCCAGACTTAGATGAAGACAAAAGCAGGAGCTCCTGAAGTCTTGACCTTTTCTTTATACCAGCGGGACCCCATGGGCCTTTTGTTTATCAAGAATACCATAAGCCCCTATGTGGGCGTTAGTGCAAAGCATTAGTGAGGTAGGAAAGTCATGTATACATACCTCTCTGATAGAAATAACTAATTACAGAGAGTTTTTCTTCCTAGTCTATCGGCAGTGTGGCTGTCAGTTACTCGGGACAGGCACAGTTTATGAGTTTAGTAATGTAGTTCACCCTCAGATAAGGCAGATATTAGTAACAGTAAGCGTATATGTGTTCACGTGTACTTTTTTCCCTTTCTAAACAAATACTTGGAACCTGCTTGCGGGGGGAGGGCCTCATCTCTCCGGGTTGATCTTCAAAGCTTTTCAAGAGTCTTTCCTCACAGTTTTGAGCAGCAAGCCTCCGTCTCGCTGCTCCACCTCGAAGCCCAACTCCTTGAGCGCGGAGTAGTCGGTGGTGCCACGGCGCTCCAGAGCCGCCACCTGCTCCTGGTTCTTCTTGTTGTGTTCTAGGAGGTTCCTGACGGCAAAGATGGCCCACTGGCTGATGACTTGAGGCAATCGGTTAAGGGCAGTGACGTCGATAGTAAGGAGAGGAGCACAATGTAGTTCTTTCAGGGATTTTTCAACATGATTTTAAGGCATATTTTCCAGCACTTGATTTCCCGTTTTTTTTTTTTAAACGTAATAGCTAATTGTTATCGAGTCTGAGACGTTTGTAAGCTTGAAATACAATGCATAAACTCCACGTTTGTGAGGTTTCAGTTTTCTTTTGCACCGATTTCATGAAGACATGCATACGTGATCGAACATACAAATGCAATACAATGGTAGATAATTTGACACTGGTACATGCAACCAAACCTTTTCTATGTCAAACTCCCGAGTGCCTGCTACTTGCCTCATGATGCTGAGCTTGCAGAAAGCCCAACAAGCAAACGAGTTTTGCAGACGAGTTGTGTTTTGAGATATAAAACATTCTCAGCTCACCCCTATCAGGTTTCCCGCATAATTCTATATTTGTTTCTTTCAATATATTTTGTTCTGGAGAGAAACTCATGAGGACACTTCCATGAATAAGGTGGATTGTTTCTGTAGCTTTACAAAATATTTTACTGTGAAAACACCCCAAATGCAAAGCTCAAAAAGCCATGATAAGGATAGCAATACATAAGATAAGCTTGTACATAAAAAGAGATGTATTTCTAGACTGTTAACCAATATGAATAAAAGGATACATGGGTTGTTGCTGTCTATGTTGCAGTTGTCCAAGATGAGGGGGATGCCTTCCAGTTCACTCACCTGAGGAAACAAGCACAGTAAGGTTTAAGAGAATGGACTGGTAAACAAGGGTTTGGCATTAGGGATGCCAGAAACTGACCATGATCAAAATCGAAAATCGGACAGCCCTGGCGAATAATGAGAAAAAAAAACTCTTGCATTTGACCTCATTTGCACTCGTCAGTTTGAAGTAGTTCCACGAGGAACTCTTCTTTCCTTTGTTCATCTTTAGTTGTGTTCTCACTCCAATAAATCAATTGGGGGGGCGGGGTCGGTGTGTAGCAGCGCAGGGAAGGGCTGCTGGCTTCCTCCAAGTTTACAGTAAAACAAACTGGTGGTGTGACCAATGGCCATTTACAATTATTAATACTATTAGTCTATATTTTGGTTGAAACTAAGCCAGGAAAAAAAAAAATAATAATACAAAAATATATATAAATAAAATCGAATTTTAAAAATAATTTTCGATTATGGAGACTGTAACGAATATTCGAATAATCGCTGGCATCTCTATTTGGCATCACTGAAAATGTTCCTAATCTTACAATAAAATACCAGTTCTGGAAAAATGTTTATGTTGACAAATTCCTTAGCTCAATAAATGCTTATTTCAGTGTTTTTCCAGAGTACCTGTATATTATATATTCATGCACCAGGGCATATGGTATCGATTGTCTTAATGGATCATACTTGCAATGATAGTCAAAATCGATGAAAAACTTTAAATGTGTATAATGTAAGTTTGGACAGTCTCTTACGTTTTTTCAAATAGGTGAGATTGTAAAATGAAGGCCACCAATTTGTATTTCTTGCCACCAAACAACTATTATGTCAATGGTTTGTATTGTATGAAAAAACATACAGTAGATGTACTAGCACAAGGAGAGTACAAATCAATGTAAAAAGGCAAGCCATGTATTGAACCTAAGTGTTCTTAGCAGAGCCTCATTACCTCCGCTAGAGCAACAGTGTGGTTGTGGGTAAGGCCGTCATAACAGGGAGATCTGCTCTGCATCTTAAGTCTGAGTCTAAAGGGTTTATTACCGTCTTTGCTTGCTGTTGCATTGTGGTTACCCTCCAAACACACTGCTGGGAGCTCCACAACGAGACCAAGTGCTGAGTTAAGAAAATGGAAATGTCATTTAAACTGTCAAAGAAACAACGTCGCTGGCTACTACGAGCACCCAGGTCTGATTTTCCACTTTCAAAATAATTGTCTGAGGCTGCTGACACTACGTCCAAACCCGTAAAAAAGGGGTGAATAAAAAGCGACTGGAGCCCGAACCCAGTGCTTTGCTTCTTAAATTACAATCTCTCCCAAAGGTGAACAGAATGACATTTGGTTTACTGGAAGAGTTCTCAGTGAAAACAGATATGGGGTGATTTCAGACCACTGACAGACCACAGATCAGCATCCATACATATTATAGAGAGGCCAAATGAGGGTGGCCATCCCACAAGCATTCCACAGATCTGTTTCTATTAAGTAGAACTGAGTCTACGATGTGCCACAGATAGGGGCCAACTCCTCCCCGCCCGCGTAATTATCTATCTGCGCTTTGTGTTAATGGCAGGATGCTGACAGACGGAGATGGAGGGAAACTGATAAAATCACCAAAGCGAGGTGTTTCACATTTCACTGAAAAACCAAGTTGTGTTGAAAGAACTCGTAAGCATGCAGTCGCAGGAACACAAAGCCTCATGCTTCATTAGACAGGACACTTATTGTATTTGTCATTGTTAATGAGGAGATGATGTGGTTTCTGAATCATTACCAGAGCCTGCACCTTAAACATGCTAATTTAGTTTAGAGATAGTCAAAGCAAGACCAAGAGGGCCTCTAGCTTTCTTCTTGACCCATGACCCCATTGTGTTAAACTGACCAAAAGCTCCCAGACCCAAGAGAACAAAAAATCTAATAACAATCTCATTTAATGCTCTTTACTTTCTCCAGACCGTAGCTTATTGAGGTCAAATGTTACAATGGAAGTCATTTTGAAATGGCAAATATCATTACAGGATATTATATAAAAAAATAGCAAGGCAAGATGTAGCATCAGAAAAACTCGGGTATAATTTAAGATTAATAAAAATTCTGCCATTAGTTATAACGAGGCTTTCGCGTTTCATCTGTTTGGTTTGAAACCAGTCAATCCAACTCTCTTGTGGACTTACCACCTGCTTAAAAAGGAGTCTCAGTCTGCTTCCCAGCTACATTTGGTGAGATTTGATTGTGAAATGAGAATGACCAACCACAGTACTTTTTGATAAAAAATATGAGGTTTTAAAATGAACCTAAAAGCTAAACTACTATAGAGTTGAGTCTGCTGATTATTACTTGTAAAGGAGGGGATCTCACAAGTGACTTATGTAAGCCACCTGGAGGAAAAACACTTATATATTTATGCAAAAATAAGAGCTTGATATTCCCTAATTTGACCTGCAGTCGCTCTCTGGATTTGACCTCTGTGAAGGTTCACGTAACGCTGATTTAGAATAACATAATCAAAACTGACCAATGAGCTGCAGGTTTGTCTGTAAAAAGATAGTCTTGGAACCAGAACTAAAAAGGAAGAGATTCCTTTTTGTGAAAGCACATATTTCTGTTTTGTCATCAGTTGTTTCAAACCTTGTTCTGGTTGTCTGTGTTGCTGTAACAGAGGTTTCCTATCAGCCTGATGAGGTGGGCCTTGAAGCTGATGACTGGAGAATGGGAGGAGGGGTCTCCATCTCCACCGAGGGAGGAGAAGTTCTGAGCAGCGCTGAAAACATTCTTACTAGCCTTCCCTATAGTATGCACCTGCTTCAGGAGCTCTGCAGGGAAAAAGAAAGAAAACACAGAGTTCAGGGATGCAGAAAAAGAAAGTAATTCATTAAATGAAGTGCCAAAAGAAAATGATTTGTGTAAACTCGTTTGTAGTTGAACTTGTTTTTATAGCTTTCTAACATAACCGAGGGCTGTGTTCAGGAGTCTTGTTTGGTTTGCTGTGGGTGATTTCACGGGGATCTGAATCTTTCACCATTTCAGGGAGTGCATATGGTGTACAGATTTTTACCATTTAAAAAAAACCCAGCAATTAACCCTAAACCTCCAGCTGCAGACGTGGTCAGAGAGCTCGTGTGAGTGTTTGTTTAAATTTACCAACAGTTGTTACTAGAAGGTCGGGATGTTCCTGGAGGAACTTGAACTGCTTGTGGTCTGAGGTCATCTCACACAGCACGTCCAGCAGACTGATCACTGTCATCGCCTCCTGCAGGACCTACAGGGGATCGCAAGCAGGATGTTGGTCACATGGGGAAAGGATGTTGGATTTGATATAACGTTAGGGAAGGGCCTCGTCAGTTGGAAATGCGAAAACAGTACAGTCAAATGTACTATGTGTACCTCATCACTGGAGGCAGAGCCAGTTGCGAGCGTCAGCACGGCCCCACAACCTTTCACGAAGGAAGTGGCCACGAAGCGAGCCACATCGGGGGGGATGCCACACTCCTCTGAGTCCTCCTCTTGTAGCTGAGCGAAGAGCAGCTCTAATAGAGTAAGTCTGGAAAAAGAAACACACACAGTAGTTTAAATGGCATTTAATCCGTTTAGTCAGCTCAGGTTTAATGTTATCCAACTAAGTGAAAATAAACAGAAACAAAAGTATAATTGCAAGAAGTGCACTCAGACAACTTCTTAAAACTAAACTCAAAACAAAGTGAAAACTCAAAATCAGGATATAAAAGTTAAAGGGGGCCGTTTGTGTTCTTAAATCACTTTCTGTGTAACATAAGAGCTCTATAGTTATATGTATTATCTTTGCCTACATTAAAAGCAAAGTACCTTTCATGGTGAGACATCCCAGAGTACATGCTCTCCACCAGAGCTGAAGACTTGAGGAAAAACTGGGTAGCAATGAGAACCCTGTACATTTGTGAGAAAAAAATAAATAATGTTTACCAACAAATCGAAGATGACAGTTTGTCATTCCTTGATATGATTGACAGCTCAAAACAAAGCATTGCTCTACACACTGAAACAGACACACACTCTTACGTCCAGTCCAGGTCAGGATGGGTCCTGCAGAGCTCCATCACCCTGAGTGCCAGCTGGATGTTCTGCAGATCAGACAGCTCCTCCACCTTGGCTTCATCCAGACATGTGTGGAGCACCATGGAGGCGTAGTTTACCGTCTTCTCATCGCCAACACTGAGCAGCTGCCTGTTCACACATAATTGGGTGGACTTTATCTGAGGAGCAATGCTTTCCAAATTAAAATACTGATACAGGTGTGCATTAGTATTAAAATGTGGTTTCAAATCAACCCAATGTTTGTGTTGTATAGACAGAGAGATGTGGATAATATATATGAAGTTAAAAACTAGTTTGTTAGCCCAATGAGCCCCCACAAAAGGTTTTCTGTGAAATGATGATCAGTAAACATAATGGGGCTGCACATTATAGAACAAAATGACCTATTGTGTGGTTTTGACTGATATTGTAACAGCAATAATATTCCCAATTTAATGGAGAATGATCATTTTCAAACTGTTATTAAAATTATCCTTGAAAGATATATTAAAATGAGGACCGGTACAAAACAAGAATTTTGTATTAAAAGGTGGGGAAGGTAATTCACTTCAGAAACACTTTTTTTTATATTCCATGGAATGCTCTTAACGTCCCGATAGCAATGAATACATTAAATGCTTTGACAATAAATATATACAAATATTTAATCTGTGGAAGCTGTGGCGCTGTAAAAAGCACGACCAGTTATAACTGGATGGCCAACCTGCCTGTCAGCCTTCCATCTCGTGCACAAACTTATCTCGTGCCCTCATTGGTCAAGTGCGCGTTCGTGTGTGTTGGAGGAGGGGCTCTGTAAGGAAGTCTGAAGGAAGGGGCAGATTTTTTTCGGTTGTATATTTTCAAATTCTAGCGCACTCGAGCTGGTTTCTCCATTCTTACCTACCCTACCTTTAAGTCTGTAAAATACTGTTTTTAAGAATTGTGCCAACTGTGATATGCATATTGCACTAGTCCATTTTGAGATTTCATAACATTTTGATTAACTGTGCAGCCCTAAAACATAGTATGAGTTATAACTATATTATGTACTAGTGATGCTTACTGTTTAAAATGCATAAGTGCAAGTGTGGCACTTACATGAGGAGATTAGGGAAGCTCAGCCGCCAGATGTCATCTTTACATATTTGGTTTCCAACCGACAAGTTACCGAGGAACTGGATCCCACAACGAAGCGCTAAGCCATAGAGGATGAGTCATAAATATGTTCAGTATCAAAAAGTTTGCCAAAATAAATCGAATGCTTTTATTACAATTGACTGATTTTAGACTTACGTTCAAATATGCCATCTCTACTCTCCGAATGTCTGGTCTGAAGAAAGTCTAGGAGTTTAAGGGATACATCAATGAAGCCAAGCTCCCTAGAGGAAAAAGGGAAGTACATATATCTTGTAAGAAGAGTGGCAAAATAGCATGAAGACACAGTGAACAACATTGGGGCAATTTAGCAATTTAAATGACTGTTGAGACCATGTCCAAGTGATGTTGAAACAACCATGTTATGTGCATATACAATATATACGTTTCATATTATCCATTAACTGATGCTCTTACCTGAGCAGACTCTGGTTGCGGTCGCTCTCGACACAGGTGTTCCTCTGAGCCCTGAAGCACTCGGCGGTCAGCTGCAGCTGCAGGGCGACAGACTGCAGGTCCTGATCGTCACAGCTGACAGCATGGAGCTCATCGCACAGTCTGGATAAAACCTGAAGAAGACTGGACAACACCTCCTCCTTCACAGCATCTCTGGGGGAGGAAAGTCGAGGTGGGGGAAGTGAGAGATGGTAAATGTAATGCAGTGGAACCCCAGCCTGGGGATTATATAACAGAAATAAGGAGTGAAATGTTGAATGAATCAGTATAAGTTTATAGCAAAGTGAGTTATCACTTACAAGGAATTTGCCTTGATGTTAGGAACATACAATTAATGCATTAAGAGGAAATAAAAGCAAAGTAATGCAAAGGGAATTACATAAATAGATAATAGATCAATGACAACATACTCGTTTTTTTGTTTAGTGCAATGAACGTATCACAATTCTCTGCAGGGATTTAATTAGCCTAACAGGTGTAAGTAATATTATAATAGATTACTTTTTTACCCTTGTCATATGAATTAGTTACACCTGTGCTAATGCTGCAATGACAACTCGAAATATCTGAATCCACAGCAAGCTTTGTCTGTCGTCTTTCTAAGTAGCAGCTGAAATGCATACGTCACTATAAAGAAGAAATGTGACATTTCACTGTTCATTAAAAGAAACAAATACACTTAACGGGCCTGAAATAGCATCCAATAATACGCCGGAAGTTATAGTAATAGTAGCGTTTAGGTAGCCGACACACCAAGCTAGCTTCGTCGGTAAGCTACTAACACCCTCAGTATCCTTTTAAAAAGCATTACATTACTTTGTCCGCACCTGTATTCCTTGTCACGTAACGCGGTGGTGAATGTTTTTAAAACCTGCAAGTGTTCAGGGCAGTGTTCTTCCTTCAAAATGCCAGCAATAGACGCTGAGATGTCCATGTTGTCGGTAGTAGCTGCCATGTTTGCCTGCTAATTCATTCGTGTGGGCGGGACATCCGGTTAGATGTCTCACACGCTATTGGTTCAATCCAGGAAAAAGGCGGAGTCAGAGCATGTGCTGCTGTTTTCATACAGTTGTCATGTCACCCGCCTCTGTGGCACATGGTTATGTGTCAGGGCAGAACATACACTAAGAGTATATTTTATTGAGTGAAAGTGAGTTGCAGCTGGGTGAAATATTAAACAGTACCACTTTATAATATGGAACCTAGTATTAAAAGGTTTATAAATGCAGCTTAGCTTTATAATTGCAAGGGTTGGCACAGATTTATTGAGTGTAATGGAATTCGGAATCCCTCATGGGCTCCATATGTTGATTTAAGTGTTATTTGTGAAGGGTGCAGCTCCCATTGGATGCATCCTTCAATATACAGTGTATCTTTACTGTAACATACCCAAAATAAAACATCTAATAATTTATTGGGTACAGTAAAAGTTCTACACTGTGTGTTTAATAGTCAGAAGATCAATTCATTCAGCCCAACCAAGTTGAGGGACAATTGGTGCTGCTGCAATAATAAAGCCACAGGGCAAGCCTTTTGAGCTTTCATGTAGAGTGGCACATTTTAGATTACAGGATTTGCCTGGGTATGATTGTCACTTGTGTTTTCACTGGCCGGTGGTCACAGCACAGCAGTGGTGAAAGCCATATCACTGTGGAAAAGAGTTGATTATGGATGGTCAGAAGTATCCACCTCAAGCAATTTGTCAGGTTAAAGATGAGGTATTTAAAGATCCTAACATTCCCAGGAAAATGTTCCCATAACTCAGTTCTCTGAATGGAATAACTGGAAATAACCTCACACATGGAAGTTGTATGGTTTTGATCGGTAATTTGAAGAGTTGAGTTACAGAAAAACAGGACATCCCATCAGATTTGTGTTATTCTTGAAACCACAGTTATGCTAACTAAAGGACAATTGGTTTCTGTAGCGGTCTAGGATTGATCTCCTTTTAGTAAAAACATGAACAGAATTAACCACACAATCTTTATTATTCACAGATGGTCTCATATTCTGATGGTACAAAACACAATCAAAGTTGAAATGGAGCAAATATCTTTGGCTGATTTGGCCCTATTATAAGGATGTCAGTTTGGTTGAAATATCTCATGAACTATTGAATAGCTTGGCAAACATTTGGTACTTCTAATATTCACATTAACCTCAGCTGTGCTTCTGCTTTAGTGCTTATTAGCAAATGTTAGCATGCTTACAGACTAAACTGAGTGGTTTATATTTGTCGTAAATATTTGCATTAGCTTAGCACTGTCACTGCAAGCATGTTAGCATGCTGAAATTGTTACCCAATTCAAAATGTTTGCCAACTTATTTATTGCTAGGTAACTAATAACTCCTTAGCTGAGCTCAGAACCATAACTCAGAGATGAAAACATGGATGATGACAATGTTGCGATGAGAGACAGCCCTTGACTTGATATAGTTCATAGCCACCTCTATCACAAGGTCCCTGGGGCCAATGATAGGTTTCACCTGCCGAACCACACCTGAGTGATGAAACAGATTGGGATTAGTTAGTGAAATCCAGTTTTGGGAAACTTATAAGTAAATTAAATATCTGTTTGATATGGGTCTTCATGAAAGACACTTACCCATAATCATGTCATGGTGGGTGCGTTTCTCCACATCAAAAGAGAACTGGTCATCTGCAGACTGGATTTCAAAGAACACATCGGTGGCGCCTGGTACATCAGAGTTAGCTGGTGTAACTGTCCGCAGGAAAATTATTTCTGTTGGGACAAACCAGAAAGGGAATTTATTCCTTTAAATCATTATCAATTGTTCTGTGAGTTGAAACAAGTAATGACATCTTATGCACAGCTTGGTGGGTTGAAAGTTGTATTTTTCAATGAGGCATCCATGAGGCTTCCCCATTAACCCCTTAAAACATTTATGAAGTTTGGAAACCTGGGTCTACGGTTAAATCATATAATAAAGACTACAACAAAGTCATGCCTTAACTAACTAATGCACACCACTGCACACATACTAAAACCTTGCTGTACTTCCCCCTGTCTTACCCTCTGGTTCATGGAAGCCTCTGAAGGTTGGCAGAGAGAGGGAGGTGTGGGTGATGGTCTGGACGGTGTTGATATTGCAGCTGATGTCATGAGGGTGGCAGGACTTAATGCAACGCACATTAATCAAAGCATCACCACCAGATCTAAAAAGTGAGGAAATGCAAAGAAAAGGGGGATATATAAATGTGCCAAGGCAGGGAGAAAAATACACATCTTAAGAAGAGGAAATATTCACAATTTCAACCTATACAGTACTACCCAGTATTTCTAAGAAACAACTTTTAGGATTGAACAGTTAAATTGAGCAAAAAGAACCTGGCATCACCTGAATAGTCCCATAGACCTGCATGGTTAACCATGGAACGGGCACTTTAGAAAGAGTCCAAACCCTGATTCCACAACCTAAAATCATGTTTGTGTACTTTCAAATGTGACCTCAGGAACAACCACGGGAGCAGAGCTGTGTAATTAGCAGCAAGCAGGTGAGTCCAAGTCATTCCCTAAGCATGACGCCAAAACCAGAGATGGTTGTGTGGTATTCCTCACCAGGGAAATGTTACAAAGGATAGTGGGATGGTGGAAAACTAGGCACGGGTATGTAAAAATTTGATGAGGAAGAATCAGAAAAAAATATCAGGATGTTGACCGAATCCGCAGCAGTAACATTAACATTCCCAAAAGATGGTAACACTCCAAAAAACTGACAAATAGAGATACAATCATTATTATTTCATACAACATATCACTATTTTTACATATATGAAGTAATTAGTGAGGCATTTTGGAAAGTAGTTGGGTGGTTATATGATCCAAAGATTTAAGAGAATGATTAGCTCATATATCATTTTGTTGCATTTTCAATCAGCTCTATATGTATTAAACCACAAAAACCACCGGGAGGAAAGTGGAACATTGGAAAATGTGTCTGGCTGCATTTATCCAGCTGACCAACACAGCTACTGCCCTTTTGGTATCATTTACAGCAAATCAACTGATAACCACCCAATACCAACACTACAAGCACTATTCCTCATACGAGCTGTAATGCTGCTCCACCACAAATTGAGCCCCCATGTTGGCCAAGCCCCAGGTGCCCATAAATAAGTGCCACGCTTATTTTTCTTGCGATCCGCTGAGGCGAGTTCTGTTTGATCCTATGGTGAGGCCACTTGGAACAGATCATAGGAAAAATTGCTTTCAACATAAGAAATGACCACAGCGGAGGAAGCACGAGAGTAGGGGCAGAAACCATTGCCGGTGTGTGTGTGTTTGTGCTTGAATATTAAAGAGTAAAAAGCCATTTTTATCTGTCACTCTTTTAATTCCAATCACTTAGAAAGTACACATAAAGGGAAGCTGAGGTAGAGTGAGCTGCCATCTGTACAAATTATTACAAATGAACAATCATGTCATAGTGTTAGATCCTTAATAGCTAATGAGCCCCATCTAGTGGTACAATGTCCTAATATTCTTAACATATAGAATAAATAACAAAAAAGGCATTAACCTTTCTTTTGCGTTTCGGGTCAAAAGTGACCAAGTGACTTTGTTTTTTTATCATAAATATCGTGTTTTTCATCCAATTGCCTCAAGAGCTTATGTTATCCTCCACACTCACACTCTGGTGGGGACGAGTCTGCCTACAGGTGGGATATGTACCATCTGGTGACCTGGTGTGGGGAAAACCACCTGGAGCTCAACGCCCTAAAAACAGTGGAGATGGTCGTGGACTTTAGGAAGAACGCAGCCCCACCCGCCCCCATCACTCTGTGTGACTCCCTAACTGTGAAGCCTTTCCGCTTCCTGGGCACCATCATCGCCCAGGACCTCAAATGGGAGCAGAACATCTGCTCCCTCATCAAAAAAGCACAGCAGAGGATGTTCTTCCTGAGGCAGCTGAAGAAATTCAACCTGCCAAAGACGATGATGGTGAACTTCTACACCTCCGTCATCGAGTCCATCCTCACCTCCTCCATCACCATCTGGTACGCTGCAGCCACAGCCAAGGATAAGGGCAGGCTGCAGCGTGTCATCCGCTCCGCATAGAAGGTGATCGGCTGCAGTCTGCCATCCCTCCACAACTCCAGAACCCAGAGGCGGGCAGGGAAGATAGTGGCCGACCCCTCCCCTCCTGGACACAAACTGTTCACCCCCCTCCCCTGGCAGGAGGCTGCGCTCCATCAGGAACAAAACCTCTCTCCACCTGAACAGTTTCTTCCCCTCCGCTACCGGCCTCTTAAACAAGGCCCGGCCCCCCTGCTGACACTTTACCTCTGCCACATCATAGACTTTATGCATTACATGCATACCTCTCTGCACATATTCTTATTTCACATTTCATAGTTTATATTCTAAAATTCATTCATAGCATTCTATTTCCACGTAAATGACTGCTTTATTTAATTGTTATTGCTATTTAACTGTATTTTATTACGGTGTAAAAGATTTTTTGTTTTATATTAGATTTCTTGTTTTTTATATTTTATGTATGCACCATGACATCAAGTCAAATTCCTAGTATGTGTGAACCTGGCAATAAACCTGTTTCTGATTCACTAGGCCTCTGAACATATACAATTGATGATCACCATTAGCATTGATTTTTTTGTGATTCATTCAACAGTGATTTATTCAACCCATGATGTTTTCGGTCAGAATTGACTGCCATAGAAAATGAATGGGTATGAGCGTATTATGTTCATCCTGCAGATGGAAAGCATCCACACACACACACACACACACACACACACACACACACACACACACACACACACACACACACACACACACACACACACACACACACACACACACACACACACACTTATATTTTTCTGTGACTATGACAAAAGGAGTTACCTTGTATCTCTTTTTCATAAGTCCCGAGGAGAGGAGAGTCCCCGGAGAAGGACCAGACACAGACACACCAGTCCGGAGTAGCAGACCTAGCGACAACAGAAAGTTAGGAGAAGTAGACCAAGTTTTGTAACAGGTCTCGGAGGAGACTGTCTTTTAGCGCATAGCAGCGGGATAGCAACACACAGTTGACTCGTTTAACCGTTCCGGTTATATTGACGACTCTCTTTCTTACCCTCCAAAAAGAAAGAACCCCCGTGTCTCGAGGTGGACACTCCCACTCACTATGTAAATAAGTAGTATGCCGCACTGTTCACTCTCCCGAAGAATTGAATCTCATTTAACAACACGACCTCAACCCCTGATTCGACACACACACACACACATCACACACACCCCACACACACAACACA